CTCTCTCTCTCTCTCTCTCTCTCTCTCTCTCTCTGCTCTTCTTCTTATTCGCTTAACAAGACGTAAATAGAGGAGATATACTGGTGTTTCGGATAAATTCAATCCTGCCTTTATATTCCCGTTCGTAGACGGAAGAGTTATATCGTGGTTAGGGAGGGGGAAGAGGGTTGAACGGCTGAAATCGAAATTAAAGGAGGGGAGGGGGAGAGTTACGCGTCGTAGTTACGCGTAACGGGGGCGTGATTCGAAGGAATGGTATGGTGGGTAGTTTGGAGAAAAAGTCGCGTCACGGCCTCTGCAACGACGACGAGGAATTCGCTTGAGGTATCTCCTTCCTCCCTCCTCCCCGTACGTCAATATTTCTCCTACAAACTATTCGATGCGCGTTTTCCCCACCTCCTTCTTTCGTTTAACACACGGTATTCGAGCGACGCGGCTCGAATACTGGAAAGCAACCAGGAGTCAACCTCCGCGCCACCTTCCCTTCCTAATTGCTCACTCACCACCACCGCCACCACTTTCGCCACCCTTATTATTCATCGGGTATCGGATTTAACGAGGATGGTATTTTCGAATCTCGCTTAAGTTTCTCGATTCGGGGATCTCTCGTAGGGAGAAGGAGACCCGTATCGACTTTTATCCCTCCCCCGCGGGAGAAGCGAGAGAAGACAAACATCGAAGAAAGAAAATGGGAGGAATTCGAGGCTCCGTATATAATCCATCTTTTCCAAGAAATCCTTGTCTCGACATCTCGATTGCGATTCCTTGATCCCTTGTTTTCGAAATAATAATAATAATAATAATAATAATCCAAAAATCGTTGCACGCTAATTTTCGTTCGTACGGTTCGCGTGCTCGATTCGAGTTACGAGAGAGTCGCGCGGCGGCTTTATTCCGAGAAGAAACGCGACGAAGCGTGAGAAGGAGAGAAGAGCGGCAACGAGGCGGGACGGGGAGGGGCAGGGGAGAGGGGAGGGGAATTCTATCTCGGCACGTACGCGCGAATTCGCACTCCGTTGTTATCGTCTACGACGACGACGAATGCGCGAACAACGACGCGCTCGTTTCTCTGCCGGCCCGTTCTTGGGAACAATTTGCACCGGCTATTCGTCCCGCTTTCCGCCCTTTCGAGAAACAAGGAACGAATTTCTTTCTTCCCTCCGTTCGTGTGGGAAAAAAAGAAAAAGGAAAAGGAAAGGGAAGGGAAAGGGAAGGAAGGAAGGAAGGCGAGACCAATTTTTCCAACAGCGACCGTCGTCGCTCCATTTTTCCATCGACATCGATGTGTGTCCGTTTCGTCGTCGATTAACGGTTCCTGGCTGGCTATCGATCTCGTTGGGGAATGAACATCGTGAAAACGAAGGGTGGGAGGAAGGGAGGTAACTCGATTCGGTCGGTTTGACATCGAGGGTGGGGGGGATATACGATGGTTATTAAAATCCTTCGCTCCTTCTCTACGATTCTATTTGTTTCTGCCTCCCTGGATAAATATTATTCACTGCTGGTAAAGAAGGCAGGAACCTTTGCTAGGATCGCCTTGAGATATTAATATAGTAAGTAGAAAGAGCTACGATTCGAATATATAAGTTTATTTTCATTTATATAGTTAATTATTTCGATCCATATCGATGTATATTTGTATAATTATTATCTTAACTATTCGAATACGAAGTATTAAACTGTCGTTAGAAATTGGTAATCAGCACTAAGCATATCTATGAGAAATAAAAATTCTTTGAATTCTATGGCTTTGCTAATGTATCGAAGTTTAGATACAAATCGGTCATTTTAGATTAGTGTATGTGACAAATACCACGGTAGAAACCAAGAATGCGTGTGAAAATAACGTTTCCTTCCGAATTGACCAATCAGATCCCTTCTGCGAGACTTCTTTCCACCAATGAACAGTATACTGTTCAGTATACTTGCTGGAAAAAAGTCTTGCGGGACGGCACAGGGGCAAGAGGAGTCCTTCGCTAGGACCGCCTATTTCCACTTCGAACGTTTTGTTGACAAACTTAACAACACACAACGTGACGCTACATAATAGTAGAAGAGATATAATTTAAATATATAAAATCGATATATATTTGTACAATTATTATTTTAACTACTCGAACAAACTATTATATTTGTAAATTAAACTATCGTTAACAAATGGTAATTAACTTACTCATATCTATGAGAAATAAGAAAATTTAGAATTCTTTGAATTCTAATGTAGTTCTAATGCATCGAAGTTTAGATACAGATCGTCGAAGTTTCCTTTCGCATTAACCAATCGGACCCGCATTTCTTAGATTTCTTTCAATCGGTGAACTTGCTTCATTGTTACGATAGGAGGAATAATTTCGAGGGAAATCGTAATTTGAACTGATTACCAATCTCGGTAATCCCAAAGGGGTAGTCTTAATCACCAGCACGAGAATTAATTACACGCCTGTGTAAGTGCCCTCTTCTTCGTCGTCGTTGCCTGCCCCTCGATATATCCACGCGTTCCCGGCAAAATTAATTCGATTCCCCTCGAGGGGAAGGATTCGAATCGAATCTTCTCGTTCTTCCCCCCCTCGTTCTCTCGTAATACATATGGGACCAAGTTTCGACCGTTTCACTCGGTGGATGGAAAAATAAATATGAAAGCGTATGAAAGGGGGATCGATGCAAAGCGAAGCGTGTCGGTGGCGATGAACTTTCCGAGAAGAAGGTGGTGGGACACGCAGCGGAGGACAAGAATGACCGGTGGAAGCGTCGCGACGTGCTACTGTTCTCGCTTTTTCCCCCCTCCCTTCCCTCTCCTTAATCGTTTCTACGAACAGAAAAGTGGAAAATTACTACGGCTCGAAATCGATTCGACTTCCTCGCGTAATCGGCGTATCCTGCCCGTCTCGCAATTCCTTTCTTATTTATTCACGCTTTTACGAGCGTGAAAAATTACGCTTGTTCGATCGATCTCCGAAATCATTCATAGAGATATTCCGATTTTCGAGGCGAAATCTCTATAGAACAAACGTTTCTTTATTTTTTTTTTTCTTTTTTGTTGAAAGTTCGAATAACGAGAAAGAGATATATATGTATATAAAAAGGGACGATCGTTTCGAAATTATTTCGTTGCTTATTAAATTCTTCCGATCGACTCCATTATTCGGATCGCCGAATCGAGAGCAAGAAAGACGCGACGAAAAGAAGAAAGGAAGAAAAATAATTTTTCCACGCGTGATCGAATTCTCGTATGGTAGATAACGATTTCTTTGTGGCTAAAGGTAAAGCAGGCAAACGAGGTTTACATTTGACCGAAGAAAATCGATCGTTGTCATATTTATCGAACGTACGCGACGATATTCGCACGTTATTTTTAAACCTTTGTATTTCTCGACGAGAAACGAGACTCGAGATTCATCCGTTTCCCCTTTTTCTCTTCGAGAGTAATAATCGGTTGGCCGATTGTCGGTTGCAGGTACAAGGACAACAGGGCCTATCCTTGGCCAGGTGGCGAGAGCCACTTCATCCTGTATCCGGAGAGCGCGAACCAGACGATTTACGCGCAGAAGGTGAGAGCCTCTGACGCGGGACGATATTCCTGTCAGGCGAGGAACGATACCACCATCCTCGAAGGGGATATCACGCTTGCCGTCCTCGGTTCGTATATCGTAACTTTCCTAAAAACAATATCCCCCACTTTTCGTATAAAAATATAATCCAACACACTCGTATCCCGTGAAAAGGGTGAACGAGATCGGACGGGAAACGAAATTCAAAAACATGGAGGAGTGCCGTAAGGCAAACGTTCCTAGTTCGTATGGGATAGACGCGGTTAACCATCTCGCTCGATTTATTCGACTGCAACTTGGAACGATGGAGGGGGGCAGAAGTATTCTTCGATCGATACGAATACGTTGAAAATTGGTTTCGTCCTTGGTTATTTACGCCCCCCCCCC